ACTGCAAGCACAAAATTGGGAACTTGAAGAAAACTACCCACGAGCCCCGACTACCAGCGATGACAAAAGATCACAATATTATCAGGCACACTTCAAGAGCATGACAAGACGTGTTGAGATTACGTGAAAACTTGCAAAAAGGATAAAAATACATGAATTTAGGTTACGTTTCAAATATGTTCATGAAAATGAGCTTGGCTACGATAAATGTAAGCATCATAGCGGGACCTCTATCCGTAAGCGCACACCTGTCCTTTAAATTGCTGGGTAAACTCCTAACTTTTGCTTCACTTTCACATTGTTTATCGACTTGAAAAGTTCTCCCACCCATTCAATCTCTCATTTGGTCCAGTATTTGCCAATAACTGCTGCTTAATAGGAATCCCTGTCAGTTTCATAACCGGGCTGTACTTGACCCAGTACCGATGGCAAGAATCCGTAAACAGCTTCTTGCAGATTCATGTCTTTTTGAGAAGCATTAGAGTCTGTTAGGACTCTTCTCACCTGCTCAATGTCTTTTGTTTCCAACTGTCCCATGACAATTTTGCCGCCTACAGTCATTTGCTGTAACGTTAAGTTCATCTTAATCGCAGTGGGTTTCAGACGAGCTGGCCACGGACCAGTATCACAGATTACATCTTGACTGCTTTAGATAATGCTTTGTGAGACCCCTGCTCAGATTTTTCTGCTAATTCAAATCTTCCTTCATTTCTGGATAGCGCTACCACTACTCAGCAATGGCAGTAGTTCGGCTTAATAGATAAATGGCTTTGTTGCAGGCACGTCTCATTATAATTTGAACCTCATCGAGGAAGTACTCTCCAGTAGCATTAGGTCGTCAACGTTGCTACATTTGACAACTTTCGTAAACAATCGAACGTGAGTTGTTCCGTTTATGCTACCGGCGTTGACGCCGGCGTCGGAGTAGCGAAAGCAACAGTAGAACTGCTACATAGCAGGACCAATGAGTACCGCCAAGTGGCGAAAAAGGGAAGGTTTCTGCAGTGCACTTTTTTATATTGATTGCGATCGTCGTAAGAACACTAGCCAGGATGAGAAAAGAAGCATCTTTTTTGTCCTAGAATTGGAGAGGAATTGCATGGGAGGCTTGTGTAACTGTTGAGACGAAACACATTTGTACCCAATTCCTTCAGAGCTCTTTTCCGGCATGAGGACATCAATGATAGTCGTATCGGCTTCTAACTTTTCAAAGTGTGTCCCGGCAGTATGGTGTTTGGACTGAAGAGTATGCTAAAACAGTGCTTCTGTTTACCGTTTACCACTGGACTCATTATGACACATTACTTCAAATATTATCACTAAATTTGTTGTGACAGTACAGTAAGGCGCTCTCTGAAAGAGCCTCAGCATACCTTCTTGCTTGACCTTCTAATTTCTTCTCCTGCTTCCTTTCAGCACTGTTTTAGTTTTTCTGTTTTTTAAGTTTTCTGAAGACCGAATGTTCCTGTGCAACAATCGTCACGATATAGTAGTAAGAATGATATTTGCTAACTGCTCATTTTTAAAAGCTCGCATGTCGGTTCGTACTAATGCGAGGATTTCAGGCGATATGATCACTCAATTACTGCGCACAACGTTACCTCAGAGGTTAAGTGTACGATGGAACTGTCCATGGCATCGCAACAGCTTCCGCCCTTGCTTCTTTCCGTTCAAGCTAAGAGAGAAACTTAATGTGGACACAATAGAAGCCAGGAAGAAAACACGAGGAGGA